CGGGACTAAATAGTCGGGGTGCGGGGTTCGGGACTCAACAGTCGGGCTTCGGGTTTTTGAGCCTTGATAGTCGGGCTTCAGGGCTCGGGACTCACTTGTCAGGACTCGATAGTGCCTCGATTGTCGGGACTAATTAGTCAGGGTGCGGTGTTCGGGACTAAATGTCAGGGTGCGGGGTTCGGACTCGAGAGTCGGGCGTCGGTTTCGGGACTCGAGAGTAGGGACTAAAATATTGACTCGATGGTCGGTACTGCATGTTAAGGTATTCATATTTGGGATTCGATAGTTGGGCGTCGGGTTTCGGGCCTCGACAGTCGGGCTTCGGGCTCGGGACTCGCTTGTTGGGACTCGATATTGACTCGATGGTCAGGACTGCATGTCGGGTATTCGTATTCGTGACTCGATAGTCGGGCTTCGGGTTTCGGGCCTTGACAGTTGGGCTTCGGGCTTCGGGCCTCGACAGTCGGGCTTCGGGGCTCGGGACTCACTTGTTGGGACTCAATATTGACTCGATGGTCAGGACTGCATGTTGGGTATTCGTATTCGTGACTCGATAGTCGGGCTTCAGGTTTCGGGCCTGACAGTTGGGCTTCGGGCCTCGACAGTCGGGCTTCGGGGCTCGGGACTCGCTTGTCGGGACTCGATATTGACTCGATGGTCGGGACTTGATGGTGGGTTTCGGGTTTCGGGCCTCGATGTTCGGGTTGTCATATTCGGGACGCGGGTATCACGACTCGAGAGTCGGGCTTCGGGTCTCGATATTCCCGTAAGTGCATTTTATACAGAATTTAGACTTCATTCTGAACTGAAGGACTACAACTACTCCGGTCCCCTAGGCTTCAATTTGGTTAGGACGGCTGTGTACATCTCAATCTCAGCCATCTTTTCGCGGATGCCATCTTGTTGATCCTGAATCACTGTCAGGAGGCGTTCTCTCATCCACCTCAGTGCCTTCAGTGATGCAACCGAGGTGTCAGCCACCTTCTCGGGAACAACAATACGTTCATTCTCAACTCCTGACTAGAAAGGATTAGTTATCACCCAAGGAAACTTTGTAAAGGTCTTACAAGCCAATACTGGTAGTGACATATACAATTAGCGAATACCAGATCCCATTCCCATACTTCCTGTGGGATTTCAGTTGTCCCGGTCCACCATTGAGCTCCATAGCATGATACAATCCGGGAGGGATCCCCCAGATCTGAATCATCATGAAACTCGCACAGGTGGGATGAAAAGACGTCGTCCGGAACCATGTTCCAGGTGAGCTCGGGAATCAACAGAAGAATATGAGTGACCGGGCTTGGAACAACCAAAATGATGTGCCTGGCAGTTGAGTACTGCAGGATGGGAGTCACAAAAGTCTGTTGGAAATGTCAGCATTGACCATCACAGTCATCAGTCTCTTACGGATATCTCCCATTGCAGCCCGGCTTTGAAGTGCATGATCCGAGCAGCAGAAGGCTCCTTGGTGTGGGCAGCCTCCATCTGATATTGAGATATGCAGGCTCGGATCCGAGATCCAGCCATTGCCATTGTAGCTGCAAGATCTGCCTGAGTGAGTGTGAGGGGTTTGAACCCTTTGCCGGAATTCTGAGAATGAGAAGATGATGCAGGGGGAGGATGCACTACAGACATGCTTGAATGCAGTATTATGAAACTGGAAATGACAATCACAATGGCAGTTGGTTCGGAGGTCAAGATATGAGCCACTGGTTGATGGATAAAATTTTTCAAACTCCGACATTGGGTTGATCCGGGCAAACTCAGATAGGGGTCGACCCGGCCAATTCCCGGGATTGAAATGTGTGGGTCCAAGTAGCTGTTTCATATCTATGGCAAAGAAAATTCATTCATCTCGAAGCCTCTATAAACCCGCCCTTCAGGTCTTGAAATGCTGCCTGGGCATCCTGTGCCAGCAATGAATACATTTGGGATTGCCTTCCCGAGTAGCATGCATGACCCGGAAGGTGTTTCACCAATGACTCGCGCATCCTGTCACCCCATTGGGTTGCTTTCCACAAGAAAAAGTTGTATGTCCAATCCATCTCCAATTCAACCAACATCATTTCTTCCTTCCATCTATCTCGTAGGGCCTTTGCCCGAAGCCAATGCACTCGGTAAACTTCACATGGGTCCGTCAGCTGAGCAGGGGATATGTCAAGCATGCATAAACTCACATTCCTGATTCCACGACTGATCAGGACCCCCCAGGTCAACTTCGACAGACCAGAACCAAGCGAGGGACTCGTTTCGCTGACCTCGGGCATTTGGATCGCCGACGGCAGTGCTGATTTTGAGCTGCTCGCGAAGCAGGGGTTTGTATTTCTGCACCTGGTCTTCGCTCGGCTCAAGTTGCATCATTTGCTTCCTTGTCTTCATATATATACTTGCATGCAGGGACACTGCCTGCTGCACGGACGTCACCTGGGACCAAGCTCGAGTTTTTAGGGCCTGGGATTTCGCTTGCCTAACTGTCGTTCGGAACAGAATCGCCTTGTTGCACAAGTGAATTCGGAGGTTGTGAAGGGAGTCGTTGGCCTGCCCTTCACGAAGGGACAACTCCAGCGGAATGAGATCCTCTGCCATGCAGTGTCTGCATCGATCTACCCCAAGGTTTGATGGCAATGGGATTACAGTGAGCTCGGGGGAGTTCGCCCACGTGTCAGATGTCTCTGTGAAGTCTGTCGAGTCATCATCGAGATCATCGAGAATGTCTACGTTCAAGTCATCAGGATCGTCATCTGCATCAAATCCCTCTCCAAGATGAGTGATAGCAGACCGAGTGAATCCATCTATCTGTCCTTGGAGACGATCACGTTGCCGGGCGATGTCTAACCTCTGTGTCTCGGTAGTTCTTCTACCAATTCTTCGGATCTCGATGAGCAATGCGATTTGAGCTTCTTCAATCGCCAACCCCATTGATATCCATGTCGCCACAGATCTACGAGCAGGCGCTGCATTTCGGGCATTACCCTCCTCCAGTAGTCTAAGCTCGATCTCCTTTTTGCTCGGTGCTGAGTGGAAAATTAATTCGGACTTTGATGAAGACACAGTCAACTTACCCTTCTTGATATTGATCTCATATACATCCATAGCCGAAGGATCATTTATTCTGCTGGACTGAGCGATGCTCTCGCTGGCTAACCATTCTGTCTTTGAATCGCCGGGTGCGGCTTCGTCAAGTCTCTCGAAAGCCTTTTCGCTTTCGGCGATGCCATTCTTCGCCTGCTTGTATTTACGGGAAAGGGTCCTTTTCATGCGGATCATCTTGCAAAAATTGGAATCGTTCATCTGATAATCGAGACATTCCTTTCGATGCGGGGACGACATTCCACGGGCAGCAGGAGAAATCAGGTTAAGACGTGACCATAGGGTCTCCATGATCTCTCCATCGATCCGACCGATGCCTTCAATAAAATTCGACGCATATCGGACGTAGCAGCTGTCCTGATGTCCGTGTATGTGCCACAACCCGATTCCGGGAATGATGGTCAATTCTGGAACCATTTCGAGAAATCGGCTTCGATCCACCCGAGCCCGAAAGTGTTTGTTGTATTGACAGTTGATATCATAGAAGGTGACCGCCCTGGTTATGCCTTCCATGTTGTGGTGGGCAGCCTCACAAAGGGCATAGTCCATGTTCATTTGTCTGGGAATGATGCATGGTTAACTCGTGAATGTCGAATGGCAGGGTGGGCTTGCCTTTCGCCTTTCTGAAAATCTACCATCGAGTGAGGAACAAAGCAGCCGTGTCGAGCACAGGCTACTCCCCCGATGCCTGTGGATTCCAGTTTGTGCCGAGCCGCATTTGCTTGATTTACTGCCCGGTGATTGCTGCAGCTTGATTTTTCTAAAGTGTCGGCAGCCTCTGCGAGATGAGTTTTATACCTGTCCTTTCCCACCATGAATCCCAACCCATCTGACAGCCAAACTTCATCGAATGGCTTCATGGGATGCAGGTGTTCGGCTTTGAAATTTCCGTCCATAACAAATGACCGGGTGTATTTCCACCTTGGATTGTTGTTATACCTGAGGTGACTTCTGTATCGAATGAGACTCACTCATCAAGTGATTCATCCCCTGACAAGGATACATTGATCCCTGGCTGAGGACAAGCGGGGCAAAATAATGCAAGATCACCTGCATTCGGGCTGTCGGAACGATGGCCGAATCCATGCCATTTCATGGCCTTCAACTGCCTCCACTGTCGGGCGACTCTCATGAGCTCTCGGTATCGGTCCTTGCCACGTGCTTTGTCAATACAATTTCCTTTAGACGAGAGATATAGCATTACCGGTACGAGGTGTGGAAACATGTTGGAGGTCATTCGCCGGAGCTTGCTGTAATAGTTCATCGCCGAGGTCCCACATTCAAGGTTGTCCAATAGAAAATCATCGAGCACCCTGAAGGTGAACAAAGTCTTCGGCTTGTTAAATGAGGCGGGGAAAAATCCATGTCGAAACATTTGAAGGTCTGGAGTCATGGCATTTGGACAATCACAGCATCGAACCTGGAGGCGATGAACCCCGGACTTGTCAATGATCACCAAGGTGTTCTCCTTCGGTTGGAACTCGGGTCCCGACACACTCGGTAGATCTTCAGGCTCAAGCTGATCTTCAGGTTCGTCTTCTTCGAACAAATCCCACCTGTCTGTAAGTGCCGGACATTGTTTGCCCTCATGACCGAGGTGTATGACGAGTCCGACGTGAGCGAGACAACTTTGCTCAAAGAATTGACCATTCCATTGACTGATCCAGTGGAAGGGATTGCAAAGATGCTGACTTCTGCAACAGCCAGTGCAATACAGTGGCTCCCCAAGACAATCTTGACATTTGTAGACCCCATCCTGGTCGCAGACGATGCATCTCCTATCTTCTGGTGGAGCTTCTCGATCCAGGAGGTGATGTAGATATGATTCCTGCCTTGGAAGCCATTGCCTCAGGTAGTCATTCTGACTCTGCATTTGTTATACTTAGCTATCATTTGAATTGCAATGCAACATTTTACATGAACTTGCCATGGTTTTTGGGAGTTGCAAAGGCTCGAATGAGCCTTGCTCGTGCTCGTAAGTATTGTCAGGAATGTCTTCCCAAAGAGGTGGTGCCTCAACAGGCTGAAGTGTTGGTGATTCTGGGGGAGAGTTCGGCATGGACCTGTAGGCATGTCTTTTTTTGCTTGCAAGAGGGACCTTGACCCAAGTCTTCCTACCCTTGCTGCCCCTGGCTTCTACCCTGTGGGATTTTTGCAGTGGGGTGCATCTACCTATCTTCATCTTATTTTCTGAGGCTGCAAGCAAAGCATTAGCTCAGGAATATGAATAAATTGTTATTGCAATGTGATGCTATGCAGTCTTGATGCGTCATTACAAATTCATTTCCATTAATGGAATTGCATCCAATATGGGTCGATTAACCAATTGTTAGGCTTTGCTCAAAGTTCAACTTGTCACCATTATTACTTCCACCTTGCTCATCCTCAGCCCTTTCTGCAATCTCATTCACAATGGCAAGATCGGGTCATTCCACTCAGTTGACTTCCAGTTCTGGAAGACATAGGGCCCGCCAACCACAGACACAGAAGCTCACGGACTCCGAAATTTCGGAGTTGAAGAACTACCTTCCTGAGTGGACTTCGGCGAAAAGGAATGAGAAGCGGGCAGTTTTCACTGCCATAGCTAGGGCTGCCAGGCTATTTGCTCCCAAGGTCGACCAAGCACAATGGAAGAAGAGGAAGCAGGTGATTCATCCTTGCTTCGCTCAAAACTAAAATTTTAACATCTCATTCATCCATGAACTCTCAGATGTACAAGACATGGTTGTTCAACAACAAGAAAAAGAAGGAGAGAAAGGACATGATAAAGTATGGTAGGAAATGGACTCCTAGGCAGGTGGTCTACCAGCAGAAGCGGGAGGAGGTGCTGAAGAGGATCGAGGAAGAGTCCGGGGCAAAGCCAGGAGGTCCCGGTATGTTCAAACATTATCAGGCGGCTGTGAAGAGAGTCATGGCCGAATTGTCCGATGATGAGTTGGAGAAGGCGAAGGAAACAGCCGAAGAATGGTCGACCAACTTCCCGCCTCCCGAGATACAAGCACAAGTGGCTCGTAAGAAGGGACCGGCTTATATGGAGCACTTTTCGAAGGAGATGTGGAGGCAATGCGGGATGAGAGTGTTTGTGATGTCGGCGTGGAAGAATGAACAGGGAGAGGTGCTGTTCGGGATGTAAGTCAATTTTGTCATGTCAAATCTTCTATCTCAATAGATTTGATGCAGGCACGATGATAACGAGGCGTTAGGAGATGGGGACAGTTTCATGAAGACGAAGGACTGGGAGGACATCGAGCCAGTTTGGCAGGAGTACGCACAGGAACAATTCGGTGAGTGTTCGAACTCTGGCTACTGGAATGAATTGGTTGATCTTTCTCATGATAGGTGCCGGGGCACGGGACGGAGGGCGACAGGTGAAGGGAGGTCGAAAGAGAATCAGGAAGCCTGCTTTCGAACTCGAGACCGACGGGGATGGGATGCCGTTGCTTCCAGACATCACCGAAACAAAACTCGAGGAGAAGAAAGCCATAGTCAGAGCATTTCTTACATCTCACTATCGTGAGTCGATCGTCACAACACCCTAACATTTGTTCAATGCATTTTTACAGGTATCTGTTCCGGGATCGAAAAGGCAGTCGTGCCATGGAGCGCCATCGTACAAAGTCAGGATGACTTTGTGGCAAGACAGTATGTTCCGGCGGATGTGGACTTGAAGGAGCCATCGAAGCTGCAACATTGGGACACGACCGCCCTACTGAACTTCTGGTATGCTCGGCAGGAGAGAGGCAAAGGTCCAACGTTCCTGTTCAAAGCATGGAAGAACAGAGATGGGGACATGGTACCCTCGGTTGTAGCCGGGAATTTACCTTCTCATCGGGCTCGTAAAGGTAGAAGAGATATGATCCGAAGGCCTCGGGAGGCCGAAACTGACAGTGATCTGGAGAGTGATCCCAAGGGTGACACTGATCACATGGAGGATGATGCAGGTGATGACGCATTGGAAGGTAGATCCCCGCGAAAGAGACGCAGAGCAGAGCCTGGTCCTTCGACGGCACATGAAGGGACAGCGGTCCCACATGCAATTCCAAAGCCTCGCCCGGTCAATGCAGGGAGATCGAGTGCACTGCTGACATCGCGAATGGGCGACCTCCTGGCTGGACTGACTGAGGGGGTCACCAACAATGTTCAGGAGGATGGCGCAATCCATGGAGTCAATAGGTCACTGGCACCGAAAAACATGCGGGGAAATAAGGCTGTGATTGAGCCTTCGGCGAGGACTACCCGGAGTAAGTCAACACACAAGCCATTGGACACTAGCCCTCGAGTGACCAGAGCGAGGGGAAAGAAGCAATAGACTTATACTACACTCCCTGCCTTTACCTGCTTGTATTTAGATGTCAATGTGTATCAATCATATCGATTAGTCCTAGAATGTCTGGTGTCCTGTGTGTGGATGAGGTATTTATCAAATTTCTCTTTGTTCTCTATCTCGGAATTTCTAGTGTCCTTCCTGACACTATCGAACACCGAGTTCCGCCTATCGAGTATCATACCTGCATGTATGTAAATATCAATGTGATTCAATCATGTTGAATAGTCAAGAACATTGTCCCGAACATCGAGTCCCGAGCATCGAGTCCCGAATATTGAATCCCGACTATCGAACACCGAGTCCCGGACATCGGGCTCCTACCATTGAGTCCCGAACATCGAATCTCGAGTCCGTAAAGCCGAGTCCCGAACATCGAGTGTAGAGTCCCGAGTACCGAACATAAGCATCGGGTCCCTGGCATGGAGTATTGAATCCTGACAATTGAATATTCAACAGTCCTGACTATCGAACACTGAGTCCCGTACGACGCCCGGGGACGTGAATTGAAAGGTGAAGTAGTTTACATGATGTGGGGAGGTGAATGAAAATTCAGAGGTTCTAACACAGTAATTTACTTTGGTTTGTCTTCTTCAAAGAGTGCAATCAGAGAATCAACTACCTTGAGCATTTCAATGCTCATCTGCTCAACTCTCTGCAACCTTTGTAGGTCTGCATCAGCTTTTTTCAGTTTGTCGGAAGTCTCCGCCCAGGCAGTTCGGAATGGTCGCTCGGCCTCAAGGAGTAGTTGGATGGACGGGTCAGGAAGACCTCCAGTACGGCGTTTGTAATCACCCAGTCGATCTTTAATGGATTGGTCTTCCAGAAAAATTAGCAAACAGATAAATACTCTGGTGTCAGATACTCACATTTTTCATGTTGGTATTTTCCGAAAGGATGGAACTCCCGGACCATCAAACGTAGGTCTTCAATATCGAGCTCCGGCTTGTCTGCAGGAAGTTCGGTAGATGATGTTTCGGCTGGAGAGATACGATCAGGATTAATCATGCTCTGGAAGGAATGAACGCACATGAACTAGATACATCTGAGGCAGCCGGGGAAACACTGGGAGGATAAGCAGAATCCGGCAGCTCATCAACATCAATGACATCATCCTCGGGCCCGAGGTACAAGTCTGGATCGACGAGATAGCCGGCATCATCGGCCTGGCCCGGATCTGATTGATCTTCAAGGGTGAAGTGAGCATGGATGGTGATCCCAGATGAAAAGGAAGGTATAAACATACCGGGAATGTCAGCCATTGCACCCGGGGGTCCTGATGACATGGAAACATGTTCTAAGTCATCTTCCGGCCCGAGGTATAAGCCATCTAAGTCATCTGAGGGATACCCGGTAAATAGATAAGGAATGATAAGAGAATACAACATACCTGGTGATACCCGGCCCATAGATGAGTCATCCACATCCATAGCATTACAGTCAGTCACTGGGGGGTCATTAAATCTAACAGCTGGATGGGAACTCATGTTCTGTGGAGAATTTGTGGTCTGGTTGACTGATGATTGAAAAAACTTCAAAGTTCAACACAAATCCGGCAATTGCCGAAAGTTGAACCACAGCCAAACAAACACAAACAATGAGCGATTTTATAGATCGTCCATCAAATGTCTTGTTTGTTTTGAAACATCATCTTTCTGACAACTGATTTCACTCTGATTTCAAGATCCTTAAATCTCCCAACTCAACCATCATGTCCACTCCAGTAAACAACTCTTTGACCGACCTCAAGGACTCCACTGGCCAGATCATGGCCATCATCAGCGCTGCCCGGCAGATTCCCCCGGGTCCCAGCCATGCAGCTCTGGGAAAGCAGGTTGCTACACTTGTGGTATGTATTTATCTTTTTTCTTGTTTTTTTTTGCCTCTCACATCCAGGCAGTCTGAGGTAGCCAAGATCTATGGGTCCGGGGATGGTCCCATTCCCGGACTCGTCATTTCTTGCATCAAGGAGCTCCAGCACATCCGGAACATGGTTCCCAAGGTCTGGCCATCCTGGCACGCGATCGGGTATGACGATCCCCGCGTTCTGAGGCACGTCTGGTACCCCAAGGTCCAAGCCTGGGAGGCCTTAGGTGACCCGGCCTTCAATCTTCCAATTGTCGCCCTCCCATCCACAGGTCCCATTCCTGTCCACCTTCCTTCCCCAGCCATTCCTGCCAGCAATGTCGCCGGCCCTTCCACCCTCCCCACCACCGAGTCCCGTGACAAGGGCAAAGGTAAGGCCGTCTTTGCTGACCCAGAGCCCGAGGCGGAGGGGAGTAGGAAGAGGAAGTCTCCCATGATGTCAGAGCACTCCTCCCAACCCCCGAAGTCGGCGATGAAGACTCACAAGCGTACGCGGTCATCTCGCGTTGTGAAGTCCAAGCCCATCGTGGAGTCGGAAGATGAAGAACCGACTATCAAGGTATGTCGTCTGGTTCTTCTTTTCCTTGTCTCACATCTTCCTGCAGCCCTTGTTTTCGCGTGGAGTGCCGGAGGTCCTTGTTCCCCTGTACTCCACAATTCTCGCAAGGGCGCCCACTTCCCCTCGATCCCCCAGGGCTCCGACGAAAAAACCGTTTGGCCCTGCCACTGTAAGTCCCATTTACGCGTCTGGGCCTCGGGTGTATGCTTACATTGTACCAGGCGATTGCCGGCAGTCACCAGGCAGTCGTCGAGCCCTCCCAGCCAACTCCCGAACCCCCTGCGCAGGCACCCCCAGCTGGGGATGGAGGTGACATCCTGATTCCCGGACCAGTAAGTACCTTTCTTTATCTGACGTACTTCCATACACTAATACACCTTACAGAACAACCCGTGCCACGCATGCACAAAGCAAGACTGGCCTTGTGCAACTCGGTACACCAAGAAGACCGGGGCTCCGGGTACATCGTGCGTCTACTGCACCACAAAGAAGATCAAATGCACCCCTGCGTATATGGGATCCCCGCCTCCTCGCGTTCGTGGTTCCTCTACCACCCGGACGACCAAGTCCAGGACGCCATCCAGGGCTCCCTCCAAGGCTCCCACCAAGACTCCCACCAATGCCCCCCCCGCGTCCCAAACCCCTGCCCCCTCCAAAGTGCCCCCTGCCTCCCAATCCAAGGCACGCACTCGCAGTCAGTCTCGTGGCCCGTCCGGAACTTCCAATGTCACTGCTGTGACAGCCCCCAAGACCCAGACGCGTGGTCGCAGCAAGACCATCACTGCTGTCAAGGCACCTGCACCTGCACCTGCACCTGCACCAGCTCGTAAGTCACCCCACATCTTTCCCATGACCCCCTGACCTTTGGCTTCCATTCTAGCGCTTCCGGCGCCCAGGTCAGGCAGTCCCGGCTGCACCACGTGGCCCGGCAGTCCCTGCTGCAGCACTTGATGTGCCCATGCCGGATCTCCATGCCATGTCCATTGCGATTCGTGATGGAGCAGCTCGAATCGCTCTTCTGGAGGCTCGTGTGGCACAGCAGGATGGTAAGATTGACACCCTGCAACGCCTTCATGAAGGCCTTAGGCGCGAAATCATCGACCGGCACCCCTCATTCCCACTGCCCGATCTTCCTGCCAATCCATCATCCTTGTTGCTCAATCAATCCGGCCCCCCCACCATATCAACCACCGCATCTGTACTCCCGCCCCTCATTGATCTCATCATGGATGACGTTCCTCCCACAACCGCAACCCCAATACTCCCGGATGCCTCTGCCATTGATGGCATCCTGTTTGAATACAACCAGGTCGTTCATTCAGAGGATCCAGATGCTTCCGGCGATGCTCATCCAGAGGATCCAGAGGATCCAGATGCGTCCGGCTCCATTGTGGACCCAGGTGATCCAAGCAACCTTGTCCCAGAATATGACTCTTCTGATGACATGGATGTTGAGGTGGAGGTGAAGGTTGAAGAGCCTTCTGAGGAGGTTGACATGGCTACATAATCTTGTAGTAATAGATGTATATACAAGTTTTCAATGAATGTGACCTCTGACTGTCCTTCAACGGGATCTGAGTACCAAGTACCGTGTACCGAGTACCGACACCCGACACCCGACACCCGGTACACGGTACTCCTATGTTTCATGTTACATTTGTATGTCTGTACAGACTGTATCATGTTACATTGCTCTGTACACATTTCACCGAGTACTGTGTACTGGGTACCGACACCCGACACCCGACACCCGGTACTCGTTACTCGGTGAAATGTGTACAGAAGTATCATGTTACATTTTTGTCTGTACACATTTCACCCAGTACCGGGTGTCGGGTGTCGGGTGTCGGGTGTCGGTACTCGGTACACAGTACTCGGTGAAATGTGTAAAGAAAAATGTAACATGACACAGTGCTTACAGACAAAAATATAACATGATACACAGAGTGTCTACAGACATAAAAATGTAACATGATACAGTCTGTACAGAGATAAAAATCGGGTGTCGGGTGTCGGGTGTTGGTACCCAGTACACAGTACTCGGTGAAATGTGTACAGAGCAATGTAACATGATACAGTCTGTACAGACATAAAAATGTAACATGAAACATAGGAGTACCGTATACCGGGTGTCGGGTGTCGGGTGTCGGGTGTCGGGTGTCGGTACTCGGTACACAGTACTCGGTGAAATGTGTAAAGAAAAATGTAACATGACACACAGTGCTTACAGACAAACATATAACATGATACACAGAGTGTCTACAGACATAAAAATGTAACATGATACAGTCTGTACAGAGATAAAAATCGGGTGTTGGGTGTCGGGTGTTGGTACCCAGTACACAGTACTCGGTGAAATGTGTACAGAGCAATGTAACATGATACAGTCTGTACAGACATAAAAATGTAACATGAAACATAGGAGTGCCGTGTACCGGGTGTCGGGTGTCGGGTGTCGGGTGTCGGGTGTCGGATGTCGGTACTCGGTACACGGTACACGGTACTCGGTGAAATGTGTACAGACAAAAATGTTATATTATACACTCTATCATGTAACATT